GGTTGCTGTAGGTGATCTGGAAGTCTGGTTGTGAGACTTATTTACATGTTTTCTCATTTCAACTGGGGAGGGGGGGCTGTTGGCACCTGCGCGGCTCACCTCCTCTGAGCTGGGAGAGATGGGACAGGGGCCGCGAGCAGCGGTAGGGATGGTGACCCAAAAGCCCTTTCCGGTGGGCTGGGCAGAGCTGGAGGGATGGTGGCTGGGAAACCCCTTCCTCTGGACCAGGAGCAGTGGGATGGTGGCTCAGAAGACCCTTCCTCTGGGCCAGGAGCGGCGGGACAGAAGGTTGCCCAAAAGCCCTTTCCTCTGGGCTGGGAGCAGTGGGAGGGATGGTGACCCAGAAGCCCCTTCCTCTGGGCCAGGAGCAGTGGGACGGCAGCTCAGAAGCCCCTACCTCTGGGCCAGGAGCAGTGGGACTCAATACCATGGTCTGGTGGTCCAGTGTCCTCTGCATCTTTGTAGTGTGGAACCAGGTGACTGTACAGAGGAGCGGGGGGTGGCGGGTCCAGTGGATTGTTGCCGGGGTGTGGGCTGATTTGGTGTCTTCTGCCTTACTTGGGACCTCCTAAATTGCTCTATTTAATATTTGCCCATTTTTATTGTTCAAAATTTTTATTTTGAGTTAGAGTTTCTGTCACTTGTCAAGAAAAATATCAAAACCAATACTTTCTTTTATAAGTACTGAATCTGGAAAATATTGTAATTAATAAAGATTTTCAACAGAGAAGTTCAATTCCCCCTTTCCTTTACCTGAATTATAAATTCCTAAAGCCCACCCAATTCCCTTTGATTTGGTAGTGACCAAGCACATTTCTCTTTTAGAATTTGTTCTCCCAGATCAAATTACTTATTTATAGGAAAAATCCAAGTTACTTGAAATACACTATGATTCACAAATCCATAGTCTTAAAATAACTACTTTTTTTCTTATACAACATAGAGACATGAGTTGTATATTTATGTGGGAGACAGAGAAGAATGTAGAGAAAATTGTTATATAAACTAGACATTCATCTGAAAAATAGAAAACCATTATACTTCTAGGCTATTATTCCATTTTTAAAAATGAAACTAAGATATTCTCTTTTAATCTCCAAAAAGAATGAAGTAGAGATGAACAGAGAGAGTGATTTAGGATGAAGTCAAAACAGTCACAAATCAGTAACAGCCAATGGGCTTGACCATTGCTGATGGGATGGTGGAGGACCAACAGGTACAGAGAAGAGAGATGCAACCTGGTTCTCAGTCACATTCTACATTCAGCCTCTAAGAATAAATCTTAACAACATCCATTCATTGACATCTCCACCTGGGACCTGGGAAGTGCTAGTCTAAACAGCCAGGTGTCCATTTCAAAGACAAAAGAGATTATGGTAATTTGCTCTTTGTTTTTAATTTAGTTTTTTAAAAATAAATGCTTTTGGGCATATTTGGCTACACCTGTGAACTTATTTATAACATTCTAATGTAAAAACATGAAAGAACTGCCTTGCATTTCTAGAAATGAGAAAAAAACAAAGACAAAAAGAAGAATACATTCCTGTGGATCACATCAGGTTCCTTTTCTCAATGGTTCTTTCAGATAGACATCTCAGTAAGGAAATTTTAAGTTGACAAAGCTGCCAAGCCACAGCATTTTCAGGTGAGATCACTAGGGACCACATCATGCGTGAAGGAAAGTTACTGATCTCTGTGTGTGACCTGCATGCAGTGTTCACAGGCCTCCTTAGCTGGTCTTGTACACATCCAAATCCACATTTTATAAATGGGATTCTTGTCCTCTCTTCTCAGCTGCTCACTAGTGATCGCGGATCCTTTATTGACCTTTCTATATAAGCGTGATATGTATATGAGAATTTACCAGAATAAAAAATATCATCAGGATGACAGAGGGCTCCCTAATATTCTCTTCAGCACACAACTTTTTAAATAAATTTATATATTTATTTCTTTGCCTTGTTAGGGATCAAACACACAGGGTCTTGTTCATGTTAGGGAAGTGCTGTACCACTGAGCTTCCCCTGAGTGCAGACAAACTTTTTAACAGTATGAATGTGTCAAAATGAATATTGCAATCTAGTCTGGCACTAGAAGACTGGAATAAAACGTGTCCTTCCCACTCCTCTTCCTCCTTCTCCCAGAGACTCTTCCTCCTCTACTTCCAGGCCTTCCCTTGCTCTTACCTTTTGACTTCCTCAGCTCAAATGAGATAACTCTGGTTGGCAGAGGAAGAAACCATTCCTTGCAGAGTTATTTCCATCCTGATAAGAGTCCCTGGAAGATTAAAACAGGGATAACTTAAAATGAGATTCCAGAATGTGAGTGAAGCTTCAAGCGTTATCATGAGAAGTTGACATGATCTTAGTAATCATTCTGAAGAATGTGTCCTTCATTAACCATACCTCCTGGTCATCAGATAAACCCAGAGCCATGGAGGAACAGGACCAATTAACTAGAAATGCAACATCACTGGGCTCTGTGTCTGTGGGCAAGCTGAGTTATTAAGATGTGCAAGTCCCACTGGGCAGATCTATTTGTCTGTCTTATTTTCTAATGTATCCCAAAGGCCTACAACTGTTTTTATAACACAGCAGGCCCTTATTAAATATTTGATAACCGAGTAAATAAATAGGTGAATTTATTTATCTACCTATCCATCCATGAAAGCTCAGACCAAGAAAAAGAACCTTTCAAACCTCAAAGCAGTGTCTTTTTTTCAATCAAGTGATAGAGATTATATGCTGATGAATTCTAGAATCCCAATATGGAAACAGAAATTAGCATAGGGATCTTCTTGACATCAGGACTTCAACTCAATGAACAGAACCATAGACACTTTATTTCCTCCTCAATCTTTGTATTTGTCTTACCTCTGCAGCAAGGACCACACCTCTTTCCACATTACCTCCACAAAAGGAGACTGGACATTTTTCACTCTTGATACAATAAATCACATTTAACTTCAAATGATTAGCAGATAATTAAATCAATGAATCTTACAATATATTCCACATTGAAGAAACTACAGACATGTGTAAACTGTAATGAGTAGTCATGTTTAGGTAGATAAATAAAATATTTGTTTTTCAGAAAGAAGGATAAAGAAAGAGAAATGAAAGGGAGGAAAGACGGGAGAGAAGAAAGAGAAAAAACAAAATAAGATAGTACATGTTTACCTAATTGTGTTGTTGAGGTGGGCATTATTCTTCAGAATCTACTTACAATCTTTTGGTTTTCCTATATTTCATATATCAAGAGCAGGTACTATTTTTAGGCAAAAGTGTCTTTGTCTTTCAGACTCGTGTATTTTTTTTCTATAATTCTTGACCAAGGGTGTGTGTGTGTGTGTGTGTGTGTGTGTGTGTGTACATTTCCCATGAATGTTGTAAGATGCACTCATTTACTTGCTCTGGTGTAGTATCCTAAGCCTTAGTCCAATAAACTTTTATGATCAAGAATACTATTCTCCTTAGCAAATGAAAAAATGAATTCTGCTCTACTAGACCTGGTGGCTGGTCAAAACCAGTGACCCACAGATACACCTTAGTTGCAGAGAAAGACAGAGTTATTTAGAAGGACAGGAAGTGTGTTCAAGGAGACTTCAGAGTTTGGGGAGGAACTGGTTGGTAGTCAACGGCAAATCAAACTCCATGCTTATAGATGACCACAGTTCTTTGAGTAAACTAATTAATTCACCCTTGTGAACTCTTTTCCTTACTATAAATATACAATATTTGCTAATAAATATATCAGAGACAAAGAACAGCCTGAGGGGATTATTTCCTGTCCAAAGGACAAATACACTTTATAATTGGTGCCCAATGGAACAACTCCAAAAATTCTACCATCTTTTCATGCATTGTGCACACTGATGTATACATAAGTCATTATTTGCTTAAAAATTCTTAGAAAACCACAGGGACATATGAGAAGGAAACAGCAGAAGCTGTTGGCAGAAAGAACAATAATCAGATTTTTTAAAAATTTGTGACTGGGGATCTAAGTATTCAATTAGCAAGTGTATAGCAATTCACCAAAGGTCTGGTCTCCTGCCATATACCAGACATAGGGGACCATTGCGAAAGAAAATGGTAAATGCAACTTTTTAGGAACATATAGTCTAGAGCATATTCATGATGAAAAGGCCATTGTGTTTTTATTCATGGTGATTTGAGAGTAGATGAATTTACATAAAGTTTTAAAAGTAGAGTCAGATTAACTTAAAAGAAACAGGGTATTTTAAGGACAATTTTCACTGATGGTAGCAGTATTGCCTTGAAGACTCGTTGCCACCAGTAACAGCTGTGGGTATATCATTGGACAGCTTCCATTTGAAAGCTGTCATATTTTACAAGATGCATTTCATAAACTTGAAATTTATTTCTTCTCATTTGGGACAGCCTATTCCAAACCCTTGGGAATACATTATTCTGCTGTATGATTTCATACAGTAGATTCTGCTGTATGATTTCATACAGTAGATACTTTGCTAATATCTTGTGTAAGAGAACCAGTAGTTAAATGTGCATAAAAATGCATCCATTCTCTCACCTAAAGACAGCATTGTACATTATTAAATAGGCATTTTGCAACCCAGCCATAAAGAATTTGAATTCATATATATTTGCCAGGGTCTGCCACTATCAAAGGACAAGGGGATGTTCTTAATCTATATGTCACCAACTTGAATGTTCTTAGAAATGATCCCTCCAAAAACATTGTGTCCCCAAAGAAGTTCTTTTACCCCATGAAACCCACGAATAAACAGCTTTATTCTGTTAATCTATAACCCCAATGTTCCTCTGCCTAGTTCTCCAAGGTTCATAAATACTGAGGCCCATTCTCAGAAGGCTGATTCCTAATCCAGACAATTAAAATATCACAGCAGAATTTCCTCCCCCTCCCCTTCTTTACCAGATAGAAATGTAAAATACCAGACCATCTGTTTCAAAAATGGATACCTGGCAACTCTACTGCTCTGTCCTGGAATAACAAATCAGTTTCATCTTCGGTGACAACTCACTCACTCTATTAGTGCTGGCCACCTGGATTGCTGAGTCCAGACGGCTGGGAAGTGCAGGTGAAAGTGCACTCTCCCTGATGGGAGAAGTTTGTTGTGGGCCCAGTACTGAGAAATAGCCACAGGCCTGCCAACATTTACTAATCCAGAGCCCACTTCCTGGCTATGGAACTTCGGTGATTCACTTAAGCCCTCAAACTAGAATTCCTCATTTCTAAACTGAAAAGGTAAACTAAATCAATGACTAAGTTCTGGCCCACAGATAGAAGGCATCATACTCACATCTGGCCTTAGTTGGAAATAAAGATCCACTTGTTTTGAGCAGAATTTCTTAAACAGAATCTCTTTAGAACCTGAAGAGTTTAATTTTTAACATAGACCTCGGGAGCGGTTGATGGTCAACTGGATTTGACAACCATTGGGTTAAATGTGCCAGGAAGGTTTTAGTTCTAGAATTGTTTTCTGATTGCCTTCTAGAAAGAAGAGTGAAAGCCTAACAATTTAACCAGTGCCTCCAGGAAAGACCTCTAGTGGATAGATTCTTCTGGAAGTCCAAAGGACCCAGCTGATGCCTGAAATCAGAAGGAAGACTGGGAAGGAAGACCTTCAGCATCTAGTCCTTGGTAAGAAAGCAGAGTGGTTTCCAGCAGGGCCCTCCAGGACTTCCTGTCTGTCCCCTGTGGCCACATCTTAGGGCCTCTTCATCTACCTCCAATTTATTGGTGACCATTAAACCCATCACATTAGTTACTCCCAAAGTCAAAGGGCAACAAAGAGAGGAAAACTATTATCCTTTGAATTCCCTTTCCTCAGAAATAACACAAGGAGGGGATATCAAGTGATGCCAGAGTAAGAGCTTCTCCTTAGTTATTTCCTTTTAAAGATTTAGCAATTAGATGTAAAGGAGATTTTTATATAAGATTTAGTGGATGAAACTAATGAGGGCATGAAAATGCTGAAGGGAGCAGTTCTATCACATTTAATAATGGCAGTACCGATTCTGACAGAATCTCCATTAGCAATTGCTAAGATAACTTAATTTCCTGATTAAACACGTGGTTCTAAATCTTATTGACATTTTAAGAGAGAGACAAATAGTAGTGCCAATTCTCTTGGGCACAGAAAAAGAAGTTCTTTTTTCTTCTCTACTGTTGACATATCACCTAGTTCACCTCTTTCTATCTTAGTGCCCAGAAAGAACTGCGTGGCTCAGAAACCGCCTGAATATAGACTGCAGCTTGACCAGCTTATAAACCTTGCTGTGCAAATTAATTTTAGCCAGTGAAAGAATTTGCTGTGTTCATGTGGTCCACTTACCAATGCTTGGGGTTGAGCTCAGGTGTAATGTAGGAGTCTGAGGAGTAGCAGGGCACAGAGAATCATAGATTTCTTGTACTAATTTAGGGGTTGGTAAACTGTGCTCTTCAAATATGGCCCACCATCTGCTTTTGCAAATAAAGTTTTATTGGAACACAGGTAGTGTTCATAGCTACTTTTATATTATGGCTGCTTTCATGGACAGAGTGGAATAATTGTTACAGAGATTGTATGTCCCACAAAGCCAGAATATTGCTAGTAGATACTGTATAAACAAATAATAACTTGTCTGTTACTAGACTACAGATTCGATAACCTCATCAGCACTTTGTGCAAAATAGAAGAGCTCAATGTATGTGGATTCCTGCAGACTCGTAAACATTCTATAAATAAGGGCATCCAGTGCAAAGCTCCTTCACAAATGTACAAGAAGGCCTTATGCACAGATGGGCTCTTCAAAGACTGCGTTCCATTTCAATCCCCAGCACACACACACAAAAAAAAACTGCGCTCCATGAATACCACTGAAAATCAGAAAAGTTCTTTCACTTCTCATAAAATTAGACCAGCTCTTGAAACAAAAGCTTGAATTTAGTTTAACTGAAGTTTTCTTCTCTATCTCCCCAATAAGTTTGCTTCACAGGAAGGGACTGTACAGTAAAATCTTGAGAGATTAGCAGCCATCAGCAAGTCAAGACTTTGTTGCTTACTTCTCAAGTCATCTCCTTTTAGACACGATGCCATAAGAAAGCATCTGGTATATTCCCAATGAGAAAATTAAGAAACATTCTCTTCAGAGGAGGGTTTAAAATCAAAAGCTTATTTTCTTTCATTTTAAAAATTGATTTTAGCCTGCAATTTTTCCTATTTGCTTCAATTAGAATTATTTTTTTCATTTATTAAATCATGACATTTAAAATCAGGTCTTTTATGGAATGAAGTTGCTGTTACAATTTAAGAAGCAAGAAACAAAAAGTAAAGGCACATATTGTACTGAAGAGGGGAATTATACTTTAAAGCCCAGCCATGTGGCTTCTTATGGAAATATAATGAGTTAAAGATGAAATTCCATTTCTAGTTTGCATACATCTTGCAAAGATTCTGCCCAGTAAAATGGTAATTGGAGTCTTTTTTATAATAAATATTATAATTTTTAATCCTAATATTGTAAGCTATGAAATGTCTTCCATTTCCCTAACATATGTTTTTTGTCCTGTTTCTCAGTCCAAGAGACAGAAATAAAATAAACACCTTAATGAACACAATACCAATCCTCCTGAGACTCTGTTCCTATCTTATGGCCATAACATGGACCAGGGATTTTGAAGATTCTCCCTAGAGGGCAAAAAGTCTGCCTTATTTCTTAACCCAATGTGGTCTGCAGAAGTATTCAGTCTGGTTTGTTGCTTAATTTCTATAGCCTTCTGGTAAGCTGCATTTTGCAATTGAAAGTGTATTTGTGAGATGTAAGTGGGTTAATTTTCCCTTTTGAAGCTGATAGTAGAGCACTCCAAGATGGCAGTTATTTAGGGTGGGGTCGTTTTAGACACTGGGAGGTTGATCATAAAAATATGGCTCTCTGTTGGTCCTTTCTGTTAATTGCAAAAACATGATGAGGAACTCCTGTTAAGCAATTATATTAGTAAGAAAATATTTTGAATCTTTCTCCCTGGTGATTACAGACCAGACATATCATAAAAAGAAATGAAACTGGGGGAAAAGATTTTCAGGCATTGGGTGTTCAAGTGGTTGATTGTCCCTAACTTGACTGGTCAGTGGGAGGACTTATTAAAGACCATTGATTTCTTTTGTCATGGAAACATCCTTCCTGTCATAGATCTCAGGGAGGGGGAGACTCCACAGAGATCTGCACAAACTCATCCCAGCTGCTCGACCATCTGACAACCTGATGGTCACTGGGGACCTCAACGCACGTGTTGGTGGCAGTGCCAAAATGTGGAAGAAAATTATTGGAACACAGAGGATTAGCTTCTTCCCGCATGGCGAGCAGGCCAACCAGAGACCTGTCATCTCAGACAACAGCTTCAATTACATACATCAGGAGAAAAAGTATAAATTTGCCACGAATCGAGAACAGTGACATCTCACCATTCTGCCACTGTTTCTCAGCAGAGTGCCAGGGACATTTGACAATCTGACTGAGTCTGAGATCATGACCCACTATGCTTCAAATCAAAAGGAAATCATAGTAGGCATCATATAGTGCCTCTGAGATTGATATTTTAATAAAATTGAATCACAGCAAATAACGATAGCAATAACTAATTTTTCAAGTATAATAGAACAACCATTATGGACTAGAAGACTCTTTGGAGACTCAACACAAATCATTTTATGCCATTACTTGCCTATAAACACAGCAAATTTAAAACTATATTGTGGTATTTTCCATTAAATAACGTTTCCATTAATGGTTTCCCAACTCTATAATGTTAGAATTCTGGTTGCTCCATGAAAGTCCCATCTCCTTACCCATGCTCTGTACAAGGTACCATCTAAAATTATGGTGAATGTTTACATTAAAAGCATGTATTATGATAACAGACACATTGCCATTAATCCCCCTCAAAAATACTTCCCCTTGGTTTGAATATACTTAGCCCATAGTTCTTGCAACTTTCTCAAGCAGTTCTGGAAGTCCTCTTCATGAATATCTTTAGTTGTTGTAGCTGCCTCAATATCCTGAACCCTTTCAAAATATTTCTCTTGCATGCTCATTATGACTTTAGAGAAGAGCCATAAATCACACAGTGCTACTTTCTGTTGGATAGCACTCAGCAGCCACATTTGCCATTTTTTATCTCACCTCATGAAGATACAAAAGAGGACTTCCAGAGCTGCTTCAGAAACTGGCAAATGTGTTCAAAGCAAGGAGGAACGTTTTGAGCAAGGTTGAGGGCAATGTGTCTTTTACTGTAACAATTTTTTAAAATTTTAACATTCATTGTATTTTTGATCACTTCTCAGACATCTGCTGAAATCCCTAGTACTACAAAAATATTGATTTTTATTATATAATAACATAATTATAATATTATATATAATTATATGTTATATATGATTATGTTTTTATATAATTATTATTTGTTAATTGAACAAGAAAGCATTTTTTTCCTTTAGTGCAGAAAATCTAACGTAGCTACTTTTGTTTTTCAAGAACAAATACCTTTTACATAGTAAGTTCTCAATTAATAATCTTGAATCAAAGATCAATTGATTTGGATCTGGCCTAGATTTAGATGTCATACTGTACTTTCCAAATCCCAGAAGAAATGTCTCTTCTGATCTCCATTGGATTATGTCCTTCTTAGATGCTTGGAGAGTCAATGGCCAGATTATCTGCACAGCAGTGTGTGAGGACAGGTTTCTACTTCGATTTGTCAAAGAACAAGTTGCCTGTATGAAGAATGCAGAATAAAGCTAGTGATCAATCCAATTCTCGCCTCTCTGAAAACAATGGTTTTCTTCTAAACTACCTTGGGTAAACTCTTATATTTGTAAAGAAACAATTACTTTCAGTGATGTGAAATGAGTATTAAATTATACCCTTTTCCTGATTTGCTGGTTCTTTGGTCCACTTTTCCCACTGATCCTTTGTTTTTTCCTTAGAGAATGTCATGAATACCAAGTATAATTCAAATGTTTAACATTCTAAAATGGCGACAGAGTCAAGTCTGGAAGGAAATTCATGAGTAGGGAGAACTCAAAGTCTAAAATAAATTTCTGAGAACACAAAGGTAGTCATTATAAGAAAACAGCATTGTATCTAATGAATGAGTTATGTGAAATCATGGCATGGGTTCTAGCATGAGTTTAGTGATGAAACATTAATAACTGTGTGTAAGCTATCTCTCACTGACAATACATTCCTTCCATGGAAGATTCTGTGAGCTCATTTATAAAGATCATATAAAGTGTTTTGATCTAGCTAGCACAAGGTTTTATACAAACGCAAGGCAGGCTTACCAGCGTATGCTTGAGCAAAGCTATCTT